TTTTGAGCTCTGCTTGGTCCTGGTTTCTTAGCATTCTACTTAATCCATTTTTGTAGGTTGATTGAATTACAGACTGTTCATTTAATACAAAATGCTTTCTGGGAGCATAAAATGAAATTATTCTTGGGCCTGGCATGGTGGCTCACGCCTGTCATCCTAGCTACTTGGGAGGTGGAGATAAGAGGATGGAGGTTTGAGGCCACACCAGGGAAAATTAGGGAGACCCTATCTCAAAAAACAAGTTGGGTGTGATGATTCAAGCCCTGTAATCCCAGCTACTCAGGAGGCAGAGGTAGGAGGATCGTGAACTGAGGCCCTTCTGGGCAAGTGCTCCCCCACGTGAGCCACACCTTCAGCAAGATCCTATCTAAAAGTAAACTAAAATTAAAAGGGCTTCGAGCACAGCCCAAATGGTACAGTGCCCAAGTTCAAACCCCAGTACTTCCAAACAACAATGAAAACCCACTCTTTTACTCAGGAGCTAACCCTTCAGATTTAGAGCTTTCTCTTTACTTATGCCTTAAACACAGAGCTCCTGAGGAAAAGGTTATGGGAATGCTGGAACATTCTATTTAAGATAATCAAGCAGTTAGAAAACAGATACCCTAAGACATTTACTGTGAGCTAGGCAGACAATGTCAGGTCCGGTAAGCAGTGCGTTCTTGAGAAACTAGACATGCTGCAAGCTGGTGATGTGTTTATTAAAGGAAGAGCTGAGCGCTCGCTCTCCATTATCATGACGTCACTAGGCATGATGTCAGGATTGGGGGCCCCTGTCATTTCACAAACGGGACAGATGAGACACGAACAAATGAAATGACTTTCCATAGTGACTGCTCTCAGCGCTTCTCTGACGTGTGCTGCACAGTCCCCCGTTGTTCAGAAGCACAATAAGAGAAGAGCCACCTCTGAGTGAACTCAGTCAAGGCCTTGAACCACGATCCTCCTGAACTCTGCCTCTTGAGTAGCTGAGATTACAGGTGTGTGCTGACACGCCCGGCCTCATATATATGTAAGGTATCGTGCTGGGGGGATTAATTGTGACAATTCCGAATAGCCTTACATTGTACATGATTAGATTGCCTATCAATATATGTTTCAAATGAACTGAAGGAACTTTAAAAATATGTCTCTCCCCCTACTTTGTTTTAGTGCTGATACCATATAACATGACTTAAATTGATAATTATCTGGGTGTTTTTGTTCATATAAAATAATGAGCCGTGCAACGGCGAAGCTAAAAGAGAGTTATTATAAACAGCAACTTCTCGTTCTCTCTTATTTATGGGTTTTCTTAAGAGTATCAAATAACCCAGGAACCAAAGGCCTCCCTGAATTTAAATCGCCCCGAGAATTTAATATGGCAACTCCTCTGTGGTCCAAGAACCAGGTGAAATCCTCCTGGTCCAGGAGAGGTTTGTATAAAGTTGGGGTCCCTTTGCATTTCTCCGCTAGCTTTGCGAGTGCTGTAAATCTGTCATCGTGGATCCTCCAATGGGGACTATTCCAGAGGCAACACCCCGTGTACCTTCAGCCTCTGGACTCCTGCGTAGAGATCACAGTTACGCAAACCACATCCAGGTGCTCCCTGCTTTATTCTAGTGGTAGAAAAGGGGAACTTTTGTCTTGGAAGTGGGTAAGTTTAAGTTGTTAAATTGGCCAAAGAATAAAGCATTTGGAGAGGCCAGTGTACTTGAATTTGAGGTACTGCCATATTTCACACAAAGAGAAGGCGTGAAGCACTGGACCTCACTGTTCTGAATGAGGACCACGGCCACAGCGCTGTCCCCCTTCAGTGGCCAGTGAGTCTACCCTCGGCACTAAGGCAAACATATGTCCCAAGGGAAGAGCTCCAACCACATCACCAAAACTCTCCAGTGGGCACTCAGGCTTTAAGGGGTATTCAAACCAAGCTAGCATTTACTGAGTGCCAACAGGATGCAATGTCCCCTGAGAGGTACTGAAGATGTGACAGTCTAGCAGGACACAATGCCTGCCCTGTACAGAGGGGTACAGGATAGAAGACCCCGTACAACACTGTGTGTGTGTAGGGGGAGGGGCACAACAGAAACAGAGAACACTCTGGATAACACAGGGACGACCAGCCCTTAACCCAGCGGGGGAACAAGACAGGGGATAGGAGGGGTACAATTAGGGAAGCAGACTCATAAGTCAAGTCGAGCTTTCCAGAAGAAATTTGGCCCAACTTGAGATGTGACGAGGGAATCTGGCCCATGAGGGGAATGCACCAGGAATGACAGTGAGCACAGGTCCACACCAAGGATGTGACATGCGTGGCTTTGTCTCTGAACTCCTCCTTCTGCAAGCTGGCCTCCCCTCCCACTCCACGCTCCCCTGGCTCCCTCTTGCTTACCTTTCAAGTTTTCAAAGTCCGGCCCCATGGTCACAGCCACGAATCTTACCAGTCTCACTAGAAATGCTCCTAAGCTTCCTCAGCTGGTGCACATTTCTGTATGATTTTCCACAGCCGCCACCGAGCGTGCAGACTAGACACTGCCTTACTGGGCCCTCCTGGCTCTTCCCAGCCATCGGTGGGACGTTTTCATCACGACTCTCCGAGCCAACCTGCTCCAACAACCGAATCCCACTCCCCTCTCCTGTTCTTATCAGCTCCGTCCCTTCTCATGAGACACCTGCCACTTTGTTCACTACAAAGCCTCCCCAGCTCTCGTTGGCCTTTACTTAGGGTCAGCACCATCTGCTCTCTAACTGGACAGCCACTTCCACAAATGCAGGGCCAGCTTGCCCTGGGCCACCCAGAAAAGACATGCTGCAATAGCGAGGAACTACTGAGTGGCTTCATATGCTTGGAGCGGAGGACTTAGTGCTGCAAAATTTGAGAGGTTGGGGAGAAAAGTACACTGACTATAAAGAGGACCACCTGAGAGAGGTCTTGGGGAGTTCCCAAAGGCTTGGGAGGAAAGCTGGCCTTGGGGTCTAGGTCAAGTCAAGGCAGAACACATGGGTGTGTTCTCCATCTTTGCTTTAATGAACAGTTTCACCGAAACACTAGAGGTACAGGTATATGACTTCAGACACATTAATGCTGCCTCCTGAGTTTAACGCTGTGAGTTTCCACTGGTAGAGAAAAGGGAAGTAGGTTGGGTGTGGTGGCTCAAGCCTGTAATCCTAGGTACTTGGGAGGTGGCGATCAGAACTGTGGCTCAAGGCCAGCCTGAGCAAAAAGTTCATGAGACCCCCCCCATCTCAACTACTCTGGAGAGGCACACATAGAAGGCTCTTGATCCAGGCTGTCCCAGGCATAAAGTAAGACCCTATCTCAACACAAAAAGAGCTGGTGGAGTGGCTCAAGCAGTAGAGCACCTGCCAGCAAGCGTGAGGCCCTGACTTCACTCCAAGAACTATTAAAAAAAAAAAAAAAAAAAAAAAAAGGGAAGTATTTTGCAATCAATTCAAAGGACAGTTTATTTTACATGATTGTTTTACAGATTTCTTATTTTGAGATTACACACACACACAAAATCAATGATCTGAGACAAAATGTTGCCAGTATGCTATGTTTCTGATAAAAACTCAAAAATGGCCTGTTGCCAGAGACAAAAATTCCCACATCCCATAGCATCTACACTTTTGGGGAACTTCCCCTTTGGCGTTTCTTCATGTAAACGGTTCACTGCTTCTAGGACTAGTAGGAAGCCACCACCCTCTAGTTTCATCTTGCCCCGTACTGGGGGGGCCTGTCTTTACCACGGTTAGTTCATTAACTGCTGGCAGGCCTCCCGGACAAATAAGGATTGGACGCACTTAGGGACGACCCCAAGGCCTCAGGCAGGATCAATGCCCTTTGCCAAGGATGGAAGGGACTCTGCCAGGCAAGCCACATCAAAGTCAGGGTCTGTGATGAGCCCTGGAAAAGGAAGGCCTTTGGTGCTGCAATAACTAACCTATCAAGAAGCATTAACCTCAGACCCGAGTAGTTCCCAGACAGCTATCTACCCCAGATCCCCAAGGTTAAAGAAACGAACTTGAGAAGCGTAGCTTATCCATGTGGCAATATACTTTGCAGGTACAAATTTTTGTAACTGAATTCAATCTTCCAATGCGGTCTTAGGAGCCCATTTTTGTCAAATCTTTCTAGTTAGATGGACCCAAGAAACCTCCCACTCTTATCTTTCAGGATTCCCACAAGCTACAAGGTGCATTGCTTCTTAAAAGTCAGTCCTGCCAGAGGACATCATGTGAAGCCCCCTGAGTCCACTTCTGAACTTGCCTTGGCCACCAGGAGCTCACACTTCCCAGTTTGGACCTCCAGTTCCCTGTTTCTATTTCTTTTCTACCCTTCTACCTCAGCAGTGTCCAGGCCCTTTCTCTCTTGCTTGTTCTGTTGTTGTTGGTTCATGACAGGGTCTCACGCTTTAGCTCAGGCTGGCTTCAAACTTTCGATCCTCCTACCTCTGCCTCCTGAGTGCTGGGATTACAGGTATGTACTGCCATGCCCGGTTCTTGTCTGTTTATAATTGAACAGTTCATGCCCTACACTCACACTTAGCTATCTCTTTTAAATCTTCAGAATCATTAAGTTAGGTACAGTGATTCATGTCTGTAATCCCTGCACTCCAGAGGCTGAAGCAGGAAGACTGTGAGTAAAAGAACAGCCTAGACTATATAGCGAGACCTACAGCCAACCAACCAAACAAGCAAACAAAAGGTCCTCAGAATCAACGTCAAGGTAGAAGAAAAGGAAGGAAGGTATTTTCTTCTTTATTTGGTTACACGGGAGATCAATTAAGGTTCCGTGTCTGTAGGTTATCTTAGGTGACCCTAGGTCTCCCACTGATCTGGAAACTTCCTGGTCTCCCTCACACTGGCCTATGTTAGTGCATCTTCCTTCTCCTGAGCTGTCATGTCTTCATGCCTGTGATGACCTACTTTGGCAAGTCGTTGGGCAAAGAGTAACCAGTGACAATAGACTTTCCACGCTGAGCCAGGAGAACACCCCTGCAGAGAGTGACACCTACCTGAGTGAGGAGATCGGTAGCGGAAGTCCTCTTTGGTCAGCAGCAGGAGTGCTTTGCCATTCATTTCAAACGTGTTGCTGTCGATTGGCCTTAAAGAAAACTCATTCTCAGCCCACTTGAGCCACTGGGCTACGTCATCCCTGCTCCAGTACACTGGCTGCAAGCCTGGTAGAGAGAGAGCAAGACATAGAGAGAGAGAGAAAGAGAGAGAGAGAGAGAGAGGGTCTTGTTAGTGAGGCAGTTGGAATAAAGGGGAAAGATGTCAGCATAGTTATTGTGTGCAAGCCCAAGTCCCCGGTTCAAATTCTAGCCTCGTAGGTGCCGAAGTGTGCTGTCAGATGAACTTTTTAGTTAAAAGGAAAATGAAAAAACAAAGTTCTTTTTATGTATGTAAGGGATGTCAGGCCTTAGCATCCTGTCCCAGGGGGTGTGTTCATTTCAGGTTTGGCCCCCAAGGAGGCCCAGAATAATGACAAATCTCACTGTGCTTAGAGGTGACCTCAGAATCTGAGCTGATCCGATTGCAGCCCAGCGTTCTTTTGAAGTAAGAATGTTCCAGAGCTGGCCTTGACCTCCTGAGCTGCCAAGTAATGAAGTGCTCTCTGAAACTTCTTCCAGGAAGAGCCATTTACTCAGCCTCTGGGAAACCACCAGGCAGGCCTCTGGGAAGAGACGGCAAGGTAAGGATAAAAGGCCTTTGCCTTTTGTTTGAATTGCCCATGGCAGAACTTCCAGTGGATGTGGTACTGGCATGCTGGACCAGAAATGGCCAGGAGGGGGTGGCTGAGTGGGTGGCTCAGGTGGGGTCTCTGGGAGCCTCTTTGTGAGTCTTTATCTTTATTTTACTTGGCTGCTGCAGAAAACCTTTGATGTATCATTCTAGTGTTTAGAAGAATGGTTCTCAAAGTGTGCATCTGTGTGGTAAAAACTGTGTCTGCTTTGTTCGTCACTATATCCACAGTGGTTGAGGGCATGGCTCAAGTGGTAGAGCACCTGCCTAGCAAGCATGAGGCCCTAAGTTCAAATGCCAGCATTGTCAAGATGAATGAATGAATGAATGAATGTACAAACAAACCAATCAATCAATCAAAGCAAGTACAACTGAAACAGTGTTTGCTACACGGAGCTTTAGTCTCAATATAAATTACTTGAACTAGACACAGAAACTCTGTGACTGTCTCACAAAAGTGTCTATCAGCTTCACTTGGGAAGGAATCACCTTTCACCATAGACCAGGCATGACAGAGAACTTTCTAGACACTGTATGTGGGGGACAAATGGTTTGGATCCCCAGGGAATGTCCAGGGCTCTGGGCATGACTTCGGGCTCTATCTTCCACACGGCTCCTCTGTAGATCAGCTTTCTCTAACCCTAGAGAAGTCCCCTCAAAACCAGTCCATCCTGCATGGTATCAAAAAAGTGCAACTGGGCACTGAGATAATTAGAGATAGGCATTGAAGTGTCTTTTCTTGGTTTTTAGGTTTTATGATGTTTTCCTCATGGAAGCAAGTAGCATTATAAAACAACAGCACATAGTGTGTGACTGCTCTGTGATGGTTAGAATAAAAAAATCTCTAAAGAGCTCAAGGTTTTGGACTCGATTGTGATAAAAAGCAATCCAGCTCTTACCAGTGACCTTGAAAATGCTCATCTGGAGCCACAGGGTGGCAGGAGAAGCAGCTAGGCTGGCTTAGCAAAATCTCAAACTTTTGAGCTGGTTCAAACCCTAAGGCCGACTTCCTTCTGTCACCGGTGTCCCCTTTGAACGGGAACAACACTGAGAACTGGATGACTTTCACAGAAGAGGAAAAGGAGGATGGTCCCACTGGGGGGACAAATGGGAGGTCCCAGTCAGGCTTGGCGTGGGAAAGCACCTGACGAGCATGGGGCCGAAGGCAGAGGATGCTCTGGAAATGCGGGGAAGAGCATGGGGTAGCTCGTTGGAAGTGCGGGTGCCAAAGCAAATACAGAACCGAATCCTGCAGGGGAGGGAAATGAAAATAAAATACTGAAGTTTCTGAAGAGGCCACGCTGACGGAGGCAGTGAGGAGGGGTGGGAAGTGTGAATAGTAATTTGAGGTTCTTTCTATTCTATGGAAGAAAACACTCATGAGTAATCTTTTCCCTAAATACAAGAAGAGTCACACACTCCAAACAGCACTGCGGGTTAAAAACAAGTTTCTCTTCTCACTTCCCATTAATCTCTCCCACAGCCCAGGCTTGAAGCAGCCAAGACCACAGTGGCGAAAACCCCCTCGACAGGAGCCAATGGGTTTGGGTACAGAAAGGACCCAGCAAGTGACAGAGGGTCCCTTGGCAATGCTGATGGAGCAAGCTACTTGCTCAAGGCCACTCAATAAGTTGATTGGTGCCACTGCACTTCCTTTAGCATAAAGACAGAAGGTGGACAGCTCCCTGAGCTGCAAAGAGCTTGATCCACTTTGGTGTGGGGAGTCAAGTGCATCGCTACTTCCTTGTCCATTCAATAGAATAAAAAGATGTGGTAGACGGCGTCCTTTCCAATTCTGAGGAAAAAAAGCCATTTCCCCTCACACGTAAGGGCCCGATGGCCTTGTGTGTTGTAGCATCTGCATGGAACACAGCTAGAACTCACACAACTAACTGTAATCAAGGTAATTTGGCTTCTAAACAGGAACCAAGCTCTTCTATGCACCCAGCACCAAGTACTTTATAAGTAGCAGCTCATTTAATTGCATGCTTATACAACTCTTGAGATAGTGGTCAGATTAGGAAGCTGAGTGCTGGTATATTTAAGGGATTTGCACAAGGTTGTAAGGCCCTAGATGAGCTGGGATTCCAACCCAGGCAGTCTGATTCCAGAGTCTGTGTTCTTATCCTTCGCACTATGTATTTCCCAACCACACTCCGGACTGAGGTTGATTTTCTACCTCTATTATGGATTCAAAAAGCCTGACTCTTTTCTGCACAACACTTAGATTCTTGGAGACATCTTCAAGCTACCAGTGGACTAAAAGCACAGGAAAAAGAATCTGTAGATTGCTGGAGAGATAGATAGGGTTATGCATGGGAAGAGGACAGAGGGCAGGTGGCACTGCTCAAAACGCATCCAGAAATGAAGTGCTGCTTTCAGGGCTGCTTGCTCACAGGCCCTCACTGTGACCGCACACGGTGATGCTTGGTGTTGATGTCACACGACTCCCAGCTCTGCTGAAGGGACACAAGCTGCATGGGGGAGGGCCACATTTAACTTGTTTTACAGTTATCCCTTGTAGCCTTAACTTGGTAAAGTTAAAGAACATAGATGTCTACCATTACTAAGGAAAAAAAGGGGGTGGAGAAAGACCCTGTGTTCTTCGGCCTATGAGAACCATTTCCTAAGGTCACCAATTTTAACGCCCATTAATTTCAGAGACTCTTTGAGGAGGATTTTGTACAGAGGAAGTAAATTGCTATGATTACGAAAATTACTAAGAATTCCACTGCTCTTTTTTCAAGTCAAGTTTATGGTACTGCACCCTTCAATGATGCACCCAGACTCTCAAACTCTCCTGCTGTCTTCAATTCCGTGTTCAAAGGTGGCAGCCGTGTCCATCAGGACATTCTTACTGTCACTTCAAACTTTCTGAATAGGCTTAAACTAACAATAAAAGGTATGCTGGGAGTTAGGAGGCCAGATTTTATTCCCAAATCTGCCACTAATTAAATCGTGACTCTGGACAGACCACTCTGTCTTTGGCTCAGTGGCTTGATCTGTAAATGAGGGGCTTAGCATCTGTGATCACTGTCTCCTGGAGGGCTTAATATGGCCTGTATGTGCCTATTTAATTTGAATCTTAAAAACCAAAGGGTACAAATAGCTAAGACCTTTTTGTTTTCCATATAAAATTATTGGGCTCACGACTATGACCCCCTAGAGTTCGTAACTTCTGAAGAATCTTCTGATTCATGGAAGACAAATGAGTGCTTAAGAGTGTTTTCTAAGTTCTACTTCTTTGGAAATTCTTGGTAAGTAGCTATGGCGATGACGGACATCACAGTTTGTATCTTCTGAGTTGATAGCCTGCTCCCCATTTATCCTGACTTAACACTGAGGAAATGGAGGGCTGGGAGTAAGGGGATGCAGTTAGAGTGACACTCAGTTCAAATTCTAATTCCTGCAGAGCTGTGATGAAACCCAGGGCCTCATGCATGCAGGCAAACTCTCTACTCCTAAGCCACATTCCCAGCCTCCACTTCAAGCCCTTCTTTGTCCCCAGCTTTCTGTATAAACAGGAATTTATTCCAGATTCTATGGTTTGGAAGGCAGACTCACATGATATGAAAGATGGGAGACGCCTCAGAGATGATCTGGCCCAACCTCCGCCCGACTGGACTGATTACGAAACTGAATCCCAGAACAGCAAATGGATTACACCACGCACAATGGCCAGCCCCTGGGGCTCTGACTTTCCAACGTCCCACAGTGCCTCAACCCTTGATTCCAGGACAGATGATTTTGTGATCCTTGACATAGCGATGACAATTACAACTTCCTTGCTTGGTCATTTTGCCTCTCCAGATTAAAGTGGCTTTCATTGGTCCAAACATCAATCTCACACTGTGGATTTGAGACCCTCTCCACCCTGCCCACCTCCTCTAGGCATCCTGTGTGGCTCCTATTCCTAGGATTTTCTGTTATGTGGCCAGTACAGCTCCACTGATAATGACAGTTGACAATTATTAAGCACTTACACTGAGCACGACAATCACTGATCACTCACACTACTTATTACAAAGACTATGACTCTTATTTCACAGGTGAGAGAACTGCAGCCCACATAAACCAAGTGTGAGTGCGGAATCCCTGGCCTCATGGCCCCAACTCTTCAAGCCTGCTGTACTGTGCCATAAATTCTGAATGCTTTATATATGCAATTCACTTAATTCCCGTAACGATTCTGTAAGATCACAATGACCACTGGTGCACAGAGAAGTATAGTGACTTGCCTGTCACTCAGCCAGGAAATGAAAGGGCCAATATCTGAACCCAGGTGGTCTGATCCAAAAAAATCTCCATCATTAAACAGCTGTCTCTCTATTGAAGCTTATTTGGTGTTTTGGCAGGACACAAAATTTAAACTCATGATTTAACTTAAAAAAAGAAAAAAAGTGTCACAGTGGTTAATTCTGCCAGCACTAGGCATCAACACGGGACCTGTATATCCCAGCTGTGACCTTATACAAGTTACTGACCTCTTTCATTTGCCTCCACTGAAAAGTACCACTGACTCACAAATGCTATGCTTATCAAATTCTTATCAAATGATCAGCGATAGCAAAGATGTAGACTAGTATTTGACATGGAGCAAACAGTGAACAAATGTTAGCTACTGGTTTCTACTCTTGTGATTACCACGGTTGCAATCTTAGGATTTGAACTCAGGGCCTCACACTTGTTAGGCAGGCACTCTACCACTTAAGCCACACTCCCAACCCTTGTTTGCTTTAGTTAGTTTTTCAGGTAGGGGCTTGCATTTTTGCCCAGGCTGTCCTCAGACCACGATCCTCCTACTTCCGCCTCCCCTACAGCTGGGATTACAGGTGTGTGCAATAATGTGGACCCTGTATAGCACCTTCCTGAAGAGGATGAGCAGGAAGAGGAGGAGCAGGTGTCTGGCTCCAAAGTAACAATTTGTTCCTAAATGATTATAACACATAGGTTTGAGAATCTGCACACGCCTGTAATCCCAGCACTGAGGAGGCAGAGGCAGGAGGATCACAAGTTCGAGGCCAGCCTGGGCTACATAGCAAGACCGTGTCTTGAAACACCAAAAGTAAATCTGTCCTGAATTTCCTGTGGAAATGAGTGGCTTCAGTCTGTACACGACCCACCCGTGTCCTAGTCCTAATATCAGGTGCACACAGGTCATCTCTCCTCTAGTTCCTCTCCAATTCGCACTCCCCCATGGGGCACAATCAGAGGTGGCTTGTCTTCCCTTGCAAGTTCTCTGCCCCAAGAGCCTTGAGGACGTTTAGGATAACTTGTAGTCTTGCTTTCACACGCACTGCCGGCTTCAGTGTGACAGTGGGACTCCTCGATGGGAGAAGGAAAGGACAGAAGGTGACAAGTTTTGCTTCCTTTGGCTTGTTGATGTTTCCCCACCCAACCCACGTAGCAAGTTGAGCCATGCTCACCCTGACCTTACCCCCAATTCTGACCTGCTATGCTCTGGGGCATCTCCCCTAGCCTCCAGCTCACTTGGTTTTAGCATCCTTGACCTATGAAATTGCCCTTCCCGGTTTTCTTTTCAGTAACTCATTTTTTCACCCATTATGTACATCTTTTTAAAAATTTGAGCTCATTAGACTGGGAGCGAGCAGTGGGAAGATAAGTTGGCAGGATCTTTCTGGCAAATGACGGGGGATATTTTAAGACCCTGGAGAATGTCAACTTCTGAGAATCTAACTTAAAGAAATAACTTAGTATACAGAAACATAGTTCACACACAGAGATGGTCATTGTGATTTTAAACAGCAAGTGTTAATTTTCATAGTGAAACCGGGGAACACAGAGAAGACAGCAGTTAAGTAGACTAATGGCAGACAGAAAATTATGCAACCAGAACACCGTGTCCAAAAGTACATATTCATACTGAAAACCAAAATACTGTGCTCTCATATCATCTCGAATAACACACAGGAAACTGTTAACAGTTACTCTCTCTCCATACAGAATTCCGGGTGATATTTACTGTTTCATTCACTCTATTTTCTACATTAAGCATGTGATGTCTTTTTTTTTTTTTTTGAGGTAGGTCTTTAAGCTGTCCAAGATGGCCTTGAACTTGGGATCCTCCTGCCTCAACCTCCCAAGTAAGTGGGACTACAGGGATGCATTACCATGCCCAGCTAGCATGTTCTTTTTACATTAAAAAGCCTGTTTCAAATGGAGCTCATCAGAGACTGCCCACTCCAGCTCCTCAGGTGCCATAGCTGGCCTTCCCCTCTCGCTCCCTGTAAGACACGTGCAGAGGGTAAGTCAGAGCCTCACTGTCAACACAACGTGACCCTTCTAGCTGTATTGTAGCATTTTCCCTCTACACTTTAAATAAGAAAACCCGCCTGATCGTGTCTTCCATTCCCTCTCCCAACTCTAAGACCAAAGTTCCCATCACTTCTACTCTGCCAACCAATTTTTCCTTGTTTGCCAGATATGAGCCCAAAGTCACACTGTCCCCCAACCTTCTTCCTTCTGAGACATAAAATTATTCATCGTGGTAGATGTGTTAAGAATTAAAGTGTACGTGCCTGTAGCCAAAAGTGATTTGGTGAGGTTCACATGGTGCCTGGCACACAGTGGTCTTCTCTGAAGTGCCGCACGGTATAGACAAAGATCCCGTGACTAGATGACCCACCTCTGGACCAGCTCTGCACCTGCCTCCCGCCCCTCCCCAACACCATTCTCGTCTGGATGCTGGAGAGCCAGCACACTTCAGATCTGTGGAGGTTACACCACTGCCAATGCATCCCCTCAGCAAACCCGAGAGGGGCTTCAGTCAGCACAACTGTATTTGCAGAAAAAAGCCAAGCTCAGAGAGGCAAGAGACTTTCCCAAGGTTGCAAGGAGCCCAGGAGCAGAACTCTGGCTCCAGGTCATCTGATCAGTCCAGTGAGCTTCCTCTGGGTGGAAGAAATAGTGGATATAAAAGCCCCTTGCACTCTCAAGTGCCTTGTAAAAGTCAAGGAACTAGAAGAATTAACGGGTGAACTTGACTTTCTGTGGCAGGCCTGGGTGAGCTAGAGATCCAGGGCTCTGTGCTATGCCGGGAGACCATCTTCTGACTTCTGCATAGGGGCTGCAGCAGGCAGCTTGCCTTACCATTCTCTCCTGTTCGTTTTTCTTTCCAGAACAAAGCCAAGCCTTCTCCAAGTCCACCACCCCTTTGAAGAAGATGCAGCTGGATAAGCATTCGTGCCTCTAACCTTGGAAGTGCTATTGGGTCACTACTGCTTTCTGCACACGATTTCTGTCAGCAAGGAGCTGCAACTTCCAGAGCACCTCCAGTTTCTGTCCTCAAGGTTCTCCTGGATCTCAGCACTAGTTTCCAAGAGGTGGCTGGATGAGCTCAACTCAAAATTCCAAGACCAGGATACTTCCCATTCATGTTTCATTCCAAAGTCCTATTCTATTCCCTCAATTGTTTTTTTTTTCCTTATAAAGTTCATTTTGCAGAAATTTCTGACTTTTACCTAATTTTAGCCACCACAGGGGTTTTCAGTAGAAAATCTGTTGACAGTAAAAGTGACCCATGGCATGCCACATTCACCCTTGCAAAAATGACTTAGGCAAGTCTGTCCCATGTCTGCTGTGGGCAGCAGGCCCAAGGTGATAAGGCATGTGACATTTTAGGTAAAAGTGTGGGTTTTGGAGTCAGATAGTCCTGTGGTCAGGGATGGTGGTACATGCCTGTAATCCCAGTTATTTTAGAGGCAGAAATTTGGAGGACCTTGGTTTGAGGCTAGCTTGGGCAAAAAATTACTGAGACCCTATCCCAAGAAATAAGTCAGGTATATGGTGCAGGCCTGTGATTCCAGCTATGCTGTAGGTAGGAGGATGAAGGTCTAAGGCTGGTCCCAGGCAAAAACTTGAGTCCCTATCTGGAAAAAAAAAATTAAAGCAAAAAAGACTGGGGATATAGCTTAAGTAGGAGAGTGTTTGCCTAGAAAGCACAAGGCCCTGAGTTCAAACCTAAGCACAGCCAAAAATATAATATATATAATATATATTATATATAATATATATATTAGTTATATATATATATAACTATTATACATATGTATATATATATAAAATATTTATGTCCTGCCACTTCCTAGCTCAGCAACTGTGGGTAGATTATATCTCTGAACCTCTACTTCCTCAGCTACAAAATGGGAACAAGGATAGTAGTTCTTGACCTCCTAGGGCAATTAGGATCCCTACAAAGATTAGCACTGAACCTGGGGCCCAGGAAGTGCTTGATACAATGTGGGGGGCTGGGTAGGGCAGAGAGGAGACAGCAGGTAATTTACACCCTGCCATGTGTCTCAAGGAGACTGAAATACTCTGCAGCTCACAGTGGCCTCAGAAGCTGCAGCAGGGCTCTTGTCAGCTGCGAGGAGCTTGGGAGAGCTATGAGGACAGGGCAGTGCTTAGAGGAGGGGACTGGCACTGCCAGTGTGCAGAGACATAATAGCCTGGACCATGGAGGGACCAGAGGAAAGAAGGCCGAGGAGGAAGCAGGGACAGACGGGCAGACAGGGGTGAGGAAAGTGAGGCATCTGCCTTAGGTGTGAAGTTTAAGGGGCACCTTTAAAAACTCAGTAATTGCTGTAATCCCAGCTACTTGGGAGGCATAGATTGGGAGGATTGTAGTTTGAAGTCAGCCTGGGCAAAAAGTTAGTGAGACCCCCACCTCACTCAACAAGCCAGGCATGGTGGTACACATCTGTAATCCCAATTACACGGGAAGCACAGGTAGGAGGATTGAGGTCTGAGGCTGGCCATAGGCAAAAACACGAGACCCTATCTAAAAAATAACTAAGGTGAAAAAGGTCTGGGGGCGTGCCTTAAGTAGTAGGGCACTTGCCTAGCAAGCACAACGCCCAGAGTTCAAACCCCAATCCCGCCAAGTGGGAAAAAAACCCTCAGTAAATACGATAAATAATGGTTTAATGCAATTTGGTCATCTGGACACATCCACAATTCCCATATCTGCCGATTTAATCAACTGGGGATTTAACACACGCATCTCCAAAGTGTCCATTCTGAACCGCTTCATTTTTCTAGCAGTGACTTAGGTAGCAGTTACACTGCGTTAGGTGCTGTCAGTAGGGTGGAGATTGAAAGAATGTGGAGGAATGTGGAGGTTATGTGCAAACACCATGCCATTTTGCATAAGGCACTTAAGTATCCTAGGATTATTTGGGTTCTAGAACCAATCCTCTGCAAACAGCAGGGGTGACTGTACTTCAAAAATCAAACCTAATGCAAAAAATCCATTAGAAAGTAAACCCCTACAACTGAACCAAAGTCTTACTGAAAACAGATGATGGCCAGGTACAGCGCTAACGGAAAGGAGGACAGACCAGAGTGATTTTCTCAGCTTCTGGAGGAAAGGACACCCTCCTCCCCTTTTATGGTGTTACTGGGATTTGAACTCGGGGCTTTGCATTTGCTAGACAGGAACACTACCTCTTGAGCCATGCCTCCAGCCCTTTTTGGTCTGGTTATTTTGGAGATAGGGTCTCACTTTTTGCCTGGGCCAGCCGGGATCACGATCCTATTTTAGGCTTGTCGCCACAGCTGGGATGACAGGCATGTGCCATCATGCCCAGTTGTCTTCTGTTGAGATGGGGTCTCATGAACTCCCTTCCACCCTAACTGGCCTAGAACCTTGATCCTCCTGATCTCAATCTGCCATGTAGCTTGGAATGACAGATATATGCCACTGTTAGTTGAGATGGGGTCCTGTGAGCTTTTTGCCAGGGCTGACCTCAAACTATGATCCTCCTGATCTCTGCCTCCCAAGTAGCTAGGATTACAGATGTGAGCCACCTGCACAGGCTCGAAAGACCCATTTGAGAGTTCAGGGAAAAGCCAGTAACCCTCTTTTAAAATGCATAGCATGTGTACACAAATATCTGCCTGTGATTTCAACATTTATGGACTACCTTGAGTTTATCCATGGGGCACTGGAGAATCAATACCCTGTATGCAAATGAGCTTGAAAATACCATGCAAAAGCAAATTAGGTTTGAGAACACGCGCACACACACACACACCTCCCAGTATTTAGGAGAGGAAAGCAGAAGAGAGAGGAAGACAGGGTGCCTTCTTCTCACTCAGAAGTGGGAGGTCCGGGTGTCACTTGCTGTGATATGTACCCGCTGTACAAGGGGAATGACTGTGGGGAGGGTCAGGCATGTTAGAAATCACTGCTAACGCTGTTATGCACACTGGAGACTGAGAATTATCTTAACCTATGAGCAGCTGTGACATGGCTGTGTAAGGACAGACATTATTGAAAAAGGGTACTTCTTCAGCAAAGGGGCAGAAAGATACATTTTATTATTCAATCTATGGACACTCATGTTCACAAGATGCCCAGCTTTCAGAAGAAAAGAAAAAGAAAAGTAGATACAAAGAGTTGGAATATTCCCCAAGCAGATATAGTGATCGAATCAAAACTGCTGGTGGGATGCTGGTGCAAGAGTGTTCTAGAACTCTCCGTGGAAATGGGTGGGCACAGACAATGGACCAGCCGATTCACTGAACACAGGTGCCCTGCGGAGGGTCCAAGTGACAGAGTGACATGCTTTCTGTCCCCTCTTGCTGTTTTAAGCCACACAGGTGATCTGCTGTCTGGAGCTCGCCTTTCCGAGTATCATTCTGGACGAGGGACAGAACTGGCCCAGGCCTTGGGATGGGAGCGGCTGTCCTTTGTGTGGTCCAGCTGCGTCTGCTCGCTTCCCTTCTGGGTTGCTTTTTATTCTTAGGACATTGAAAAAAGCAAGCTGCCTTTTCTCAGAATGGAGACAGTCCCAAATGTCACTGCATCTGAGAGATGAACAGGAAGCAGGGGACCCGGGAAGGGTGTTGACACCAGAAAGAGAAATCAGGAGAGAAATGTTTAAACTTTACCACGTGGACTACACAGACCTCAGAAAATACATACAGGACCCCAGACGGATTCGACCAGCAGTAGTTTCTACAAGCAAAGCATTCCACAACAATGCTTTTCGTGAAAATGCCATTTTCTATGAAGAATTCCATTGCACCCCCCTCCCCCTATTTCCCCAAATGTTTTTCACAGGCAGCTGCTCGGTCGCCTTCTGGTGTGAAATCAAGTCTCCACTGAGAGGCTGTCTGAGCCAGCATCGGAGGGCAGACTGGCTGGGACACCCAAGATGAAATCATTTTGAGTGTGGCTGATGCTTCATGAAATGAAAGAAAAAAAAAAAAGTCCACCTTGGACAAGCAACTTCTATTTAAAGACACTCGTGCCGCACTTGTGTGCGTGAGTGTGCGTGCGTGCGTGTGTGAGGCAGGCCTCCCTCTGCTCGCCTCCCCTGCTCCTTTATATCCAGGGAAATGGCTGTTGTAGACTGATCCCGAAAACACTGGTAATCGTTCTTTCACTAGTTATATTCCCAGGCTGAAGACCTGCCATTTAGAGGCAGGAAAATGAAGAAGACAAAAGGAAGCCGGCCCCATTCTCTCCTTGGGTGGGTCAGTGGTCAAAGCAACCCCAAGAGACCCACCCTGGCATTCTGGAACACCTTTCTCTTAGGCTCAGTCATCCTGTCTGAAACGCTACACCATTCATGCCTCAGGAAGAAGGGACAAAAGCCCTGTGGAGAGGAAGCTGGTAAAAGGAAAAACATGAAGTCAAAAGACTGTTTGCATCAGGCAGTTAGGTGAATGAGTCAGAAGGAACTGGCCAGGCGACACTGGTGTCAAGGATGGACTCCACAGCAGGTGGGCAGTCCTGAGCAGCCAGGAGACACAATGACAGAGGACACTGCAGAGAAGAAGCCCTGAACTCGCTCTTGAGGCTTAGGGCCTATGAGTCTTCTCAGGTGCCTTTCATTCTGTGCCAGAGAAGGGTGGTGCTGAGTTCTGGAAAGATCTCTCTGCGTTTTTCACTTTGAAATGGGAATGTGAGAAAACTGTGAAAAGAATGAGTGACATCTTGCTGACGGTGCAAGCAACGTTCACTCACAACGTGCAAAAACCACTTTACTGGCATTGGGCAGAGCCTGCTTTCGGGTGAGGGCCCCGGGGGCTCTGGAAGGTCCCACCTGTCACCTGTTTATAAGAGCTGCTGTCCACTTTCATTCCTTCACAAGAATTGGTCACTTGATAGAAATACTAAAAATTGCCTTTCACCAAATTCTTACAAAATTAAATCCAAATTCCAATTCCAATCCCGTTTCTGTCATCCGCTGGCTTGGTGACCGGAGGGTCAATGGTAGCATGCTCTCTCTCCCCATGACCAACAAAAGGATGTCCGCGTCCTAATCCTCGGAGCCTGTGAATGTGGCCTTACTTGAGAAAGCGGCAAGGGAACAGAGAGCAGGGACGAGGCAAGGACCACATCCAGACAGAAGCAGAAACTGATGCAGACACAGCTTGCTTTGCTTTGCTTCTTCACAGGGTCCTGTCATCCACGTGCTCAAATTTCTTTGCCTTTTGTCAATATTTGTCACTTTCTCTTGAATTGTTTTTCATTTTCTTCCTTATTAAAACAACAAAACTTCTGGCCAGATGCAGAGGCTCACACCCGTAAGCCTAGCTCTTGGGAGGCAAAGACCACCAGGATCACAGTTTGAGGTCAGTCCAAGCAAAAAAGTTAGTGAGACCCCATCTAAACCAATGACTGGGTGTGGTGGCATGCAGCCGGTCATTCCAGCTGCGTGGGGAAGCAAAAATATAGGAGGATCAAAGCCCAGGCAAGCCAGGCATAAAGCAAGACCCTATGTCAAAAATAACCAACCCAAAAAGAGCTGGTAGAGCACCTGCCTAGTAAGTGTGAGGCCCTGAGTTCAAATCCCAGTGCTGCCAAAAATCAAGTGAAAAAAATACCCTTCTCTTTCCACCTTGTGTTTCTTTGAACTGCCTTGTGTAACTCCATCTTGAATCTTACTATCTTCCTCTTCACTTCTGAAGTGAATTTTCTCTTAGAATTATCTTAGAATTCTCTCCTGACTTCTGCCATCTCATTTATAAATTGTTCCAATTCTAGTTTAAGTGTCCCCCAACCCCCGCTAGTTTTCTATCATTTTCTCAGTGTCTTCTGGCTCATTTGGAAGTAGGTGACAGTTCTGAATTTCCAAAGTCATGTCGTTTTGGCATTCTTTCTTTAGAGATGCCACTCTCTCCTTGTTTTCTCCTCGGTTGTAAAAGCTGTGAGCGAGACGTGACCTCATCCTCTCCTCTTGCTCATTTTCCTGTGTGGAATTGGTTTTCCTGGATTTTTAGGAAGTGACAGCCTACAAATTTTACTCAGCTCTCTCTTCGGCTGTTTTCATGGAGTGCACAAACGTGCCGGCTGGCTTCCTGAAATCACCTGCTTCTGTCATCTTCTGGGGACCTGCTGTTCCCATCCTGCTCCATCCATCTCTTCCCACTCCCTGCGGTTTCTCCAGCACAGGGCTGTCCTCGAGGGAGGCCATGCTGGGTCAGTTGTAGAGTTCGCAGTGACTAGGGAACTCTCCATCCTGTGACCCCACAGGCCACACACACTCATGGCTGGTGGGATGAGGAAGATGACTTGCCTCCTGCCATCAGACACCCCTCCAGGCTTCTGGTAAAGGCCTTTCAGGAACTTGGGGTTTTCCCGTTCCAAGGTTCATCAAAAGCCCCACTGTGTCTTGGGGATGTCTTGTCATGTAGTTTTGTTATAAGTATCACCCATGGGGTTTTGTTTTGCTCTTGAGTTGCTGTACTCTACATGGAACTTTGGAGAATCAAGCTGTAGGTCACACTGTCTTTCTCAGACTCCGGTCTGGGAGACTTCATACGACCCCCAGAGGACTTCTGAAAAAGAGCATCAGTCTTCTTGTGTCTCTTGGTGAACTGCTGCTGGGTTTTGTGACAGTAAATGAAAGATATGTGACAATCTGAGGTGGCTACACCAAAGGGGGTGCTGGCCAGGAAGGACAGAGAGAGCACACAGAGGGAACACCTGCCAAACATAAGATAGCTGTGGGGTCAGAGGTCACCGGAAGTCAGGGGAGGGAGATTTAGCTTCTCATATTTGTAGAGCTAAGACATGACTTCAGTGAAGATAAGCTTTCCCAAGAAGGAGTTCCGAGTGGGGATCAGTCCAGGCACACTCCCTTCGACTGGCTTTGCCTGCTAGCCCTGTGGAAGTTTTAAAAATTCACAGACACTTGAGTCACTCAGCCATCAGTGACACACCTCAGCTATCTTAGGTCATGGTGAGGGCCTCCCCCATGAGGCTTTCCCAAGCACAGTGACAAATGACAGCTTCAAAGAAACAGGGAGTTCTGGTCACCCACTTCCCCTCACAAGCCCTTTGGAGAGGCCAGTCAGCTGTTTTTCTCAGAAGAGTCCCACAAAAGCGGCGAGCGGTGCAATGCCCTCCTGCCCCACCTCCTTTGTCATGAGGGCTTCGTCTCCTTGGAAGGCCACACTCGTCCCTGACATGCCAGGCTCATTCTTGGATACTGTGTGTGTGCAGATAATTTTTCAAAATGGCTCTTTCAAAATGCAGCCCTTGGAATCTCTGCCAGAGATGGATGGACTCTAGCTGAATTATTGAGCTTCGGCAAAAGGAAATAAATCTTTCCCACTGCCCATGCCTGTAGCCAAGTGCGGCTTCCAGGAAGCAGTGCCCGTCCTTTCTGGAAATGAAGCGAAACTCAAACATTCTCTCGCTCTCCCCTGACTCCCTGCCCCTCCCCCCACCTACTTGCAATTCACTGACAAAAGCACTTTACATTCATTGCTCATTTGCCTGAATAGGCATCTGAATTAGTAATGCCCAAATTAGTGATGCCTGGCTAGGGCAGCTTTCTAAATAATGAGGCCTGATGGTCCTGGCAGAGCTGGAGGCCTGTGTTAGCCTAAACACGCTTCCGGTTGTAGAATCAAAATCTCCCCTACAGACCTGATGTGCAAAGCGGGAAGAACACGCTCACTGATGCTTCGGATTAACAAAACAGGAGCCAGAGCCGGGGCTGGAGGGTGCAGCCATCGTGCGGAAAAGGGGACTTGTGCACACAGCAGGATTAGTACACAAACTTCCTGACATCTGCTATTCCTATGGGTGATCCTGTCACCTGGCCGTGTTCCAGGGGAGTTCCCAGCATTCCCATCAGGGCACAGTGTGGTCCAACTGTGCAGAGAGCTCCTTGGCCCCTCCCTCCATTCGCCCATCCAGCCCTCATCCTCCCAGTGCAGTTGGCACCCACGATGCATTGCATCTCCTGGAATGGTACCCAGATAATGGTTGGGCAGGGAGGCAAAGAATGTTCAGGAAAATTACATGGCCAGGCTTGATGTGCACACAGCCAGTTTGAGGACCTAGAAGCAGTTAGACAGGACCAGCACCTGAGATGATGGGTGCATCCAAAGGCGACCTCAGGGCTGCACTTGTCCTCACTGCTGCCCTCAGTCTTCCCCATGTCAGAGAAGGCCACTTCACCCTTCCTGTTGCCAAGGCCCTGCACCTGGTGATCATCCTCATCTACTTTCTTTCTCCTGCCCTTGCAGTCTACTGGTAAGTGCTTTTGGCTTTGACCTACCTCTATCTACAGCTGACCGATTTTGCCACCCCTGCAGCTCCCATTAGTCTCAGCCACTATCTGACCTGTCCTGGTCCCTAGCTGGTCTCCTGCCTTCCACTACTGTTCTCCAATGGCCCATTCTCAATATACTGCCTACCAAAGGAATCCATTTAAACACGTCCCCGCTCAAACACCTCCCCCTCCCCGCAGTGGCTTCTCATCTCACATGTCATTAAGATGACCTTTGTGGCCCAACAGGATCTGACCCTGCTTCCTACCATCTTTCCACTCTCTCATTGACTCCATCAGCCATATTGACCTCTGTGCTGTTTCTCAAACACGCCAGGCCCATTCTTACCCCAGGACCTTTGTACTGGCTGTTCCTTCTCCTCCTTGAGAGTCTCACATCCTTGGACATTCCATTCAAAACAACACATCTCTGTTCTCCGACTCCTCTTTGTTTTTTGCGTTAATTCTCCCCTTAAACTATGTAATTATTTTGCTACTCATCTTGTTTGTTACTTGTTTTCTTTATGTAAATGTTGTTGTATCTCTGGGCACTGGAGGAAGTCAATAGGTATTTCTGAACAAATGAGAAGCTGTTCTGCACAGAGACAGTATGGCATAGTGGTTAGGAGTGTGGCCCGAGTCAGGTGTTCTGGGTTTGAATCTTGGCTCTCCAACTTACTAGCTGTGTGACCTTGGGCAAGGCATGTATTTCTCTGTGCCTCAGCTTCCCTAGCTATAAAGCTGGGATAGTAACAGGGCCTTCATGAGAAAACTGTGACCATTTAAGTATGCTGGGAAGCGTGCAAAGCCCTCAGAACAGTACTGATGTGAATTAATCACTTGGTCGGTGTTAGGCTATTATGAGGAAGGTCCTTGTCTGCTCTGTGAGTTGCAATTGAAGGATTTCAAACAAGGGAATGACATAAACAGATGTCATCTCAAAGGATCCTTCCAGCTGTGGAATAGAGAACGAATCAGATGAGGGCAAGGCTGGTACGAGGAGAGCAGTCAGAAGTGCAGACTTGGCCATGACAGATACCGTTAGCATGAACTAAAGCAGAGGATGGGCTCCAGGTAAAATGGGGTTTCGATGGACTTGGAGATTAATTAACGTGGAGGAAGTAGCCAATGATCAAATCCAGGCTTCGATTTCTGCCGCTAGATGGACAGTGGTGCCCCCATGCCAGCACCCAGGGGCCAGATGAAGCAGGATGTGCTACAAACATTTTGTTGACTATGAGGTGACATTGGTGGCATCGAAGTAAAGAAGACCCCGTTGCGTTCGTGCATCTGGTAGTTACGAGAAAGACCTGAGCTAGAAATTAACACATATTTGCTCACCAAGGTTATGCTGATGGCTGTTGAAACCATTGCAGGGGATGCGTTTCCCCAAGGACAACGCTTAAGAAGCAAGGGTCCCATCTTGAAGGCTGGGACAGCAGGCGACAGGCCAGGGGAGAGTGGCATCTCACAAGCCTCGACAGAGTGAGGTGCGGGCAACAGTCTGACAGGAGAGTTAAGATAAAGAGGATTGAGCATGTCCAGTGGATTTAGCATCTGGTGACAGGGTAGGGACCAGGTCACGATGGGAGGAGCAATAAGTGGGGGGTGACATGTGGATAACTCTCACAAACTTGGTGATGACAGGGGGTAGCACAGAGTGAGGAAGAACGATGACAGGTTTCATTTATGATGTGAGGGGCCGAGTGTACATGACAAGATGGCTGAATGTAGCGTTCACTCAGGGCTCGGGAAAAAGACCTCTGGAATCAGGGGCGGGAAGGACGACAGGAAGGAGCAGAGAGATCAGGCATGACTGTAGATGAGGTGATGGGGAGGAAAAGGAGCAGAGCACTGCTGACCCTGGGAGGAGGAGGGGAGGCCCTCTGGGACAAGCAGGAAGGGGAGTGAGCTGCCTGGAGTGCCTTGTGGTTCAATGAGCCACGTCCAAGGCCCACTTGAGGGTCGCACGGTGAACCAAGCCACAACTAGCATTTCTATTCTCCTTGGCAAGCCCAGATTTCAGGATCCAAGATACCAAGCTCATGTTGTAATTAGGATAAAACCAAAGCCACACCAAATACGCAGTGAGAATACAGTTCCGAGAAATCTCTCTTAGAACCGTGCCACTGTCCCTTTGATTATAATCCTCCAGGCTCCCACCAAAGGCACACTAACTACGACACTCTTTCCTCTTTTTCTTTCCAGTGCGAGGGATGGAACCTAGGGCCATGTGCATAGTAAGCAAGTACTCCGCCACTGAGCTACACCCCAAGCCTTTTCTTAATTTTATTTTGAGACAGGGCTTGGCCCAGGCTGGCCTCAGACTTGTGATCCTCCTGCCTCAGTCTCCCGAGTGGCTGGAATTACAGACATGTACCACCACGTGGGGTTAAAAAATTGCACTCTTTAGAGGCATTTAGCATACTAACCTGGCGCTGTTCTAGGCCTTCTCCCCAGACCCCACTCACCATGCCTTTGCTCCCACACGTGCTCCATCTGGCTGGAATGCTTCTCTGCCAACCTTGCCCATTCAAACTTACCTGCCTTTTAAGGCCTGGGGCACCTTTCCTCCTAACTTTTTGGTTCCAGAGAACTTGTAGAACCCTATGTTGCAGTTATCAGTGCACACGTGATGCTTCTCACAGGGCAGTAAGTCCAGAAGCCTGTTTGTGTCCCCAAGGAACCCAACCTGGTAAGGGTCCACAGCCCGAGTTGGCTTGACGGCTGGCTTGGCTCAGGTGTGCTGTCGGGGCCACAGAAAAGAGCAAAAAGACTTTTTGACAAATACTGATGATTTGTGTATTAAAACTGAATGCGCCCTATGGTGTCACAGGTTTGGCTAGAAAAGTCTCTTACTAGTTGGGTAGACACTGAGTTACACTGTAAGGCCAGTGTATAGGACATTTTTAGGGGTTTTTGTTGTTGTTGTAGTACTGGGGTTTGGACTCAGGACTTTGCACTTCCAGGCAAGTGCTCTGACACTTGAGCCACACCTCCAACTAGAGGACATTTGTGTGGCTGAGCAACTGGTTCATTTATTGGCTCTCCCTTCCTGTGTTTTTTTTCTTTCTTTTTCTTTTGGCAGGACTGGAGTTTGAACTCAGGTCCTCACACTTGCTAGGCAGGAGCTCTACCACTTAAGCCATTCCACCAGCCCTTTTTGCCTCAGTTCATTTTTTAGTAGAGTCTTGCTTTTGCCCAGGCCTGGCCTCTAACTGAGATCCTCCTGATCTCTGCCTCCTGAGTAGCTGGGATCGTAGGTGTGAGCCACCAAGTCCAGCCTGTGTCTACCTTTCTGGTACACTTCACCGCTAACTCCTCCCTCTTGATCTTCTCCATTATAGTACAGCAGGTGCCGTAGGAACAGCACACAAACAGGACCCCGTGTGCCTCTACGAGAGGGAGAACTGAACAAACACTGACTCTGGCATTCAAAGGCAAAACCTATTTGATACTAAATGATAAACCTGGTGTGCTGAGATGCTATTTCATTCTCACACCATCTGTGGAAGAAAGACACTACTGTCCCCCTTTTCAGTGGGTGACAGAATCAAGACTCACAGCCCAGCCTGCTTCACTGATAAGTTCAGGCTTCCCCATCACCTTAGAGCATGTCACCACTGCTTCTCAAGGCTGTTCAGCAATGGCCCCTCTGCCCACCCCGAGGACAGTAATGCATGTGTGATCCCTGGCTTGGGACTTTGGACACCTGCATTGTAAGAGGGCTAGGACTCCCCTGGAAGGGTGGCGAGATGCTGATGTCTGGCTACTTTCCATTTGCTATAGAGAGCTAAATAGCAACGGAAAAGTAGCCAACAGCTTAATTCCAGGGACCTGAAGTCTATGAAGTCATCAGCTGCAGTGGGGTCCTTCAGCAACTCCCCACCCCCACCTCAACTCCCTGCAGTGTGACACACACTGTCCTTTGGGCTAACTGCGGTCCCTGGCCTTCACTCATGCCACCCCCTCTACCTGGCATGCAAGACTTCTGTTTGCTGCTAGGTGAGCCACACACACTTTGAAATACATGGAGACATGGCTGCCTGCAGATGCCCAGGGACGAAGCCAGGAGGACTTCTGGGTCCTGCTCATTACCCTCTGAGAAACTTGGGATCACTCCTCTACCCAATGACAACCAAAAGGAGCAGGTAGCTGTGACCTTTTTTCAATGCTTAAGGCTGATCGTGCTCCTCCTTTGCTTAAGGGTTTCCAGAAGCTTCTTGGGGCCTTCTGCATTCCTGCCTCATTTCCCATGTCCCCTGTGGCAGACCTGGCTCCAGTCAGGTGACATACTCACAGTCCCTGGTCTTTGCATGTGTCATTCCCTCAGCTTGGGACTTCTGTATTTTGCCAGGTGAGCCACACATGCTTCAGAATATAGGAATCTTCCTTAAGAGTCACCTTGCTTATGAAGTCTTTAGTAACCTCCACCCCAGGAAGGATTAGACACAGCACCCTCAGAGATGGTAAACAGGAGTAAAGAAAAACAACAAAAAAAGCAGAACCTGTGTGACATTGTCTTGGGATTCCAACTTTTCAATATCTGCAGGTTCTAAGAGTTTCCACTACACCAACACCCTCTGCTTCTGTTCATAAATTAATGTGTTGTGTTCTCTTAGCAAACATCACACAGCGCGCCCCTCACCTGGATGTCCTTCTTGTCCCAAGCCAAATCATGAGAAACGACTGGCCCCAATTCACGGTGCGCAAGGGGCGTTTACATATGTGGTCTTGCCTGGGCCTTGCAGCTCGATGGCCCTTACGTTCCAGCTCAGCAACCCAAGGGAAGGCAGCTAAGTGGCTTGGCCAAAGCTGCCCAAATAGTAAGAAGTCAGGTGAGGATTGGAATTGAGACCTGGCTCTCAGTCTTGGTGCTCAGCTCATACATAAACTCCCCAAAGTGGAGGTGGCCCGGTGTCCTCCAAGAGTCTCTGTAGATGCAGTCAACCTGTTCCTAACCAGGTCCTGGGGACCTCAAAGG